GAGCGGGCTTAGGTAAGGAGCTGGGAATGAAGGACAGTCCCTCCCCAGCCCAAGGCCGAGGTCATCGCCCATGAATTACGTCCCACAGGAAAACCCCACAGCCCACCTGTCCCACTCCACTTCGTGGCCCTCTGAGAACAGTGGATCAGCCTGAAGGACCTGTCCCTCCCCGCTGGGCTGGTGAGGCCAAGTCCCTGGCTCTGAAGAATGAACATTCCCAGAAGGGGGCCAGAGGTCACCCTGGCCTCCAGGCCTCTCTCAGACCACCATGGGCAAGGCAGCATTCTGGAATTTAGGGTGATGGGGTCACACCAGGCAGGGTCCCAGACAGGGGTATTGTGTCCCCCAACCTGTGGGCTGTCCTCCCAACCTTCCTCCCAGCAGCCTGCATGTCCACACCACTCACACCTCACACACTCTGAGGCTCACACATCCACTTCCTGTACAGCTCAGTCAACACGCATTCACCCCCATTAGAGCTCACACACACACTCTCATTCCACTAGAGCTCACACACACGCATTCACCCCCATCAGAGCTCACACACTCACGTGGTACTCGGTGCGTCCTCAGCCAGGCCGGGCCCCACACGAAATGTCCTGTGAGCTGCTGCTCAGGCATGTGGGGTTGGCAGCCTGGGACTGTGAGGCGAGGGGTCCCCTGGTTCACGGTGAAGTCGGCCGTTCCAGTGACAGACCTTCACCAAAGGCCGTGCCGGAGGACAGGGAACTGAATTCAGGCTCCAAAGCTCCGGGAGGGGCATGCGGGCCCAGGCACCCAGGGATGCCGTCATGGGAAGCACATGTCTGGCACACCTGGCAAAGGCCAGAGGGCTGTGCGTGGTTACCTCATCAACCAGGCCCCACAGTCCAGGGGCACTGTCACTCACAGACACAGCGTGGGGAGAGCAGCAGAGGGGACACTTCAGGAACATGGTGAGGGTTGAGGGGAGTGACTTTCTGGGGGTCCCAGATGCTACACCCTGGCCTGCGGGCCCCCTCACGCATCGCTGCGCTCTTCAGATGTGAAGTGGCGGAGTGTGAGGTTCTGGGGCCCGATGCAGGCTGAGTCCTGACCTGGGGGAGGGGGCACCTGCAGACGGACCAGAAGGACCCGGAGTCACAGAGCTTTCCGCTGTTTTATTGGAGCCTGGGGCTTGTTCTGCCCGGTGGCCGTGTCACAGGCCAAACCAGTTAGGGACATCGCCACGCCGGGGATCCTGACTCTGCCTCTGCTGCTCCTCCTTCATGAACTGCTCCCGCAGGTCCTCCTCGGTGACACCTGTGGGGTCTGGCTGCTTCTCAGGAAACAGGTCCGGGAAGGTGAAGGTCTGTCCATGAGCCTGGAGACAGGGTGAGGGGTATGGTATAATGGTGAGGGTGCTGTGCACGCTTGCTCCCTGCTCCTTCTAGAAACATCCACACACACGGCTCCAGTAAGGTCGGGCAGACAGACACACAGCGCCTCCCCGCCCGTGTCTGATCGGGCAGCCAGGCCACGGCCCTATCTGCAGGGGACACTGCTCCTCCTGGGCCAGACCTTCGGACCGAAGACCATACCTCGTGAAGGCTGCCACTTGGGGGCCTGCTCCCCACACCCTGGAGGCCTCCCCCACCCCAGAGCCCCCAAGCCCAGCGCCCTCGGAGACGCATGCAGCAGACTGTGCCCAACAGGCCCTGGATCCCGTCATGGGTCCAGAATGCGCCTGGGCGGCCAAAAGGGGCCGCAGACCGTGTGAGGGGCTAGAGCAAGGGTGCTGAAGGGTCCAGGGAGGAGCCGCTGCAGCGTCGGGGGCCTGACTGTCCCGACAGCGAGGCCGGAGAGCCTCCAGAGCCGAGTGATTTTGCCAAGTCCGACTGGGGCCCTGCCCACGCACAAGCCGCCATGTCTGCGGTCATGGGTCTACTCAGCTCAGGGCACGAGACTACCCGGTGAGGGCTGAGCCTGTGCACAGCAACCACCAGCCAGGCCGCCTGCACAGCGCCTTCCCTGTTCTACCCATGGGGCAGGGCTGGAGCCAGCAGCCAGAGGGGGGCACGCTGTCAGTATCGGGAACCAATGTGGGCTCTCTAGGTACCACACTTGGCCTGTGGGAGAAGCCTGGGTTTCTGGGTGTACAAAGGAGCTGTGGGGGGGGGGGGGGTCTAGGGGATACCCTTTTCTACAGAAGGTAACCCTGGATTTTAGAGGAGGCCCAGGCAGGCTGGGCACACAGGAGACATTAAACCAGGCTCCCGAGGTGCCACACGGCCGCGTGCCTGCACCAGGCCCCTGGACCATCGCCCCTCTGTGGCCTGGGAACAGAGGCTCTTTGGCAAGCACACATTTGTGGGCCCCCAGGTCAGGGCTGCAGGTCTCTCTCCGGTCGTCCACTCCCCGCGTGTCTGTGCCGGGCCCTTTGAGTTTGCTGTCATCAGAAGCTCACTTGCAGACGTGTGGCTGGGGGCCACCCGAGCCCGGGCCTGCCTAGGTACACAGGGACCTCACAGCGGTCACATCCCTCACAGGGCAGGCGCTGGCGCGGGGAGGCGGCCCGGGGTGCAGCTGTGCCAGCTGCTGGGCCTCGTCCATCGCAGCCCGATTCGCAGGGGCAGCTGCAGTCTCTGGGCAGCGCCAGGCCACTCCGGTTAACTTTCATGGCCGAGGTGGGGCCCCAACAAAAATGCAGGGGCTCAGATGACTTAAAAGCAACTTGTAACTGAAGCGCGTCTCCTGAAGTGGCCGGTGGCGGATGCCGGCACACAGACGTCAGCAGACTGAGAGCCGGGGACAGATGGTGGCCAGTTTCATGCCAGGACATGCAGGCCTTTATAAGGCCAATGGCCACAAGGGGCACCTTGATTGGCCAGTTGTACACACAATGAACATTAGCCCATAAAATGTGGGGTGCTTCTGTTTAGAACAGCAGGGGCGACCGTCCTGTAGTCCTTCCACATATGACCCTGTTCTGTCCCTCTCAGAATGGGCCTCAGGTCCACCAGGACCGTTTCCAATAGCACTCCTGCCATCTAGTGGTCAGTGCCAGTGCAGCCCACCCTCTCCTCTCGCTGCCCACAGGGTGCTGGGCACCTGGGAGCTGGCGCTGAGCGGCACCACCTTCAGCATGTCTGGAAGGGCAGGGAGGGCATCACCCGCTTCAAGTCTCCTTGGACTCTACGTGTAGAACTGGGCCAGAGTTGGCCAAGGCCACCTCATCCACGGCCACTCTGGGCTTCACGCAAAGCCACTTGGAGTCTCTGCAGGGACCCTGGGTGTCACACAGGCTGAGACCTGGGCTGCAGACTGAGCGGCCATCTGCCCTCTGGAGACCCTGGGGCAGTCCTGCTGTCCTATGAGGTCATGCGAGCTGGTGTCACCTCGACACAACAGTGGGTTCAGGGTTAGAGAGGACTGGTCCCTGCAGCCCACTCACGCAGGTGTCCAGGACACACGGCAGGATGTGTCTGTGTCCACGCGGGGAGGCCAGGTTGGGCCCAGCTCAGCCCGAGCTTGCTGCCTTCACCATCTCAGCCACCAGGGCAGCCTGAGGTCCGCTCCCCAGCTGGGTGGCTCTGTTGACTCTCAGTGGCCCCGGCAGTCTCAGCACGGCACGGCCCAGCCTCACTCTCAAGATCCCACCCCCGGAGATGGCCGTGGCCGCCGGCACCGCTTACCAGCTGGACATAGGCGACCTTGTAGTCTGGCTTTTTCACCCGCACGTTTCTGTGATCTCGTTTCCTGTTGGAACCTGGGGGAGGGGAAGGACTCAGGGTGAGCACGAGGAAGCGGGGCCTTCTAGAAAAAGGGTGGACCCCGAGAAGGGGTCTCCTTGCTCCCTGGACACTGTGGACATCAGAGGTCCAGCGAGGGTCTGTGGAGTCGGTGCCAGCCCTCACTCTCACCGAGGGCAAGACTAGAGCCAGTGACACAAGAGTCAGCCGGAGATGGACCCTGTCACAAGAACCCGGAGAGAACAGAGAACTCTGCTGGGGAGACTCGGCCCTCAGTGACCCCTGTGTCTGAGGCACAGGGCTGGCCACCACCCTCATCGGTGTGACCCTGGGTAAGGGGCACCCACTTCATGCTTTAGTGTTGCCTGTGGACACTCACCGTGCTGCACCCGCGTCCTCACAGCTGCCACCGGCACCTGGTAGATACTCTGCAGGTAGTTCTTGAGGTCCACCCTGGTCATCTCCAGCGGGATCCGGAACTGCACAGTGTCCTCAGGCTGAGCTGTGCCAGGCCGCACCAGCTGGATGAAGAAGTTGGTTCGGAACACTCGGAGCTGTGGCCCTCCGAGCTGGTACAGCGGGTACCTGCGGAGAGGTGGGTGTGAGAGACTGTCGGACACAGACCCTCGCCAGCAAGGTGGCCTGGGCACAAGCCTGGTCAGCTGGGACTCACAACTTCCCCCTGGTGACTGGCTACAGCACTGCAGTGGGCAGCCACCGCTGGGGACACTGGGGAACCGTGGAAAGGGTGGGGACCCTTCTATGTTTCTGGACCCCACATATGAGGCCCAAGGAACATGCTGGACCTTGAGATTCCAGAAGGAAGGCATAGTTTGAGGGTCTGTGTCAGAACCTGGCCTGCACTTCCCACACCCCCACACCCATGCTGACCCCAGGCGCATTGCTAGTCCTAGTCTCTTCTCTTGGGTCCCCAACAAGCTCCCTCTCTTCAAGCGAGCCCCCAGTCCACCCCATCTCGTCCTGCTGGACCACCCGCCACTCTGTCCAAGGCTTTACCCTTCCTTGGCCTCAGCTGCGCCCCTCCCTAGGGGTATTTCATAAGCCCCTCAAACTTCATTTATCTCGAGTGGAACTTTTCACTGTTCCTCCCTTCTCCCGCCCAGCAGGCCCTGGCTCCTGGCCAGCAGCCCCAGCTCCCTGGGCCCCACCAGTGACTCACCCCCACCCCACCCGCATCCCACCCCTGAGCAAGTCCCATCAGCCCCTCCAAGGCCGCGCTGGCAACACAGAGGGGAGAGGGAGGCTAGCCGCCCCACCACCGCCCCTTCCTTCCCTGCCCAGGGCCCCAGCCTCTCTACGCCTCACTGAGCCCCCCACCCCCACCCCTGCTCGAAGTTTCGGTCCTCCAGGCACAACATGTCTTGATCCCGGTTAAGCACCAGCCCCCACCCAGCTCTAGCTCTGCCCGGCTAGGCTAGATGTTTGCTGAGGGAGGCCCTACTCCCCAGACCTCCACCTGCCCCCTGTCACCTGGCCCCACCCACCCACCGAGGGCCTCTCTGTCCACACAGCAAGACCAGGTCCACACTGGTCACTGCTCCCCCAAAACCACGTTTCAAGCGGTAACTGCTGGCCTTGTCCTCTTGTCAGCACTAGCTTGAACCCCAGGATGGATGAGAGCTGGGTTTTCCCTCCACCCCTCGGGGCACCACATATAGGGGGAGCTGAGCTTGAGTCCAGTTTTCCATCCCCTAGAAACTGGGGTGCTTCTCCACTCCCCTAACTGGTCCGGCCTGGGGGCCAGGCCTCCTCGCCTCCCAGGGCTGACACCAGGGGCAGTCTTGGCGAAGAGGTCTTCCCAGTCTTTGGGTGCCCTCCGATCGTGGGGCACCCTCCCGATCCTGGGCTGCCCTCCCGATTGTGGGGCACCCTACCGATCCTGGGCTGCCCTCCCGATCGTGGGCTGCCCTCCCGATCGTGGGCTGCCCTCCCGATCGTTGGATGCCCAGCAGCACTCGCACTCATGTCAGAACCACGTGCATGCAAACATTGGCACGTGTCCACAGGACGCATGCGCGGGAACCCCAGCCCGCGCCACGGACCCCGGCACCCCCCCAACTTGAGACCCTGTGCCCACTGGGGCAAAGGTGACCCCGGGACGGGCTACCCCGGCCGCGACGCCGAGGCCGCGCTGACCTCGTGCTTCCAGCCTCGCCCCCAGCCCCCGGAAGCCTGCGATCAGGTCGTCCGCCCGCCCGGGGTCCCCGCGGGGTGTCACCCGCCCCCCGCCCAGGGCGCCCCAGCTGTGCGCGTGCTTGTGCCACTGCAGGGTCACGGGGGGCGCACGGGGCCCAACTCACAGCACATTCCTCGCCATGACTGCCACTTCCGGTCCGCGTCGGGATAGAGAGGCGCCGCCCGCGCTGGCACAGCGCCCCCTGGCTCCCGGGAGGCCGCGCGCGGGTGCGCCGCTGGGGCGGAGGCTCCGCGTGACCCTTGACCCTCAGAGCGAGCGGGGCCTGTGTCCGTGCAGCACCGCGGGCCGCCCTGGTGGCCTGTGCATGGGGACCCGGTGTCCACACAGCACCGCGGGCCGCCCGGGGGCCTGTGTCCGTGCATCGCGGGCCGCCCCGGGGCCTCACCGGGTCCTGTGTCCGTGCAGCACCGCGGGCCGCCCCGGGGGCCTGTGTCCGTGCAGCACCGCGGGCCGCCCCGGGGGCCTGTGTCCGTGCATCGCGGGCCGCCCTGGGGGCCTGTGCATGGGGACCCGGTGTCCACACAGCACCGCAGGCCACACAGCCATCCCTTCTATGCACTGGGGACCCTGTGCCCATGCAGCACCATGAGCCACACTGGGACGGAGACCCTGTGTCCACGCAGCACTGCAGGCTCCCCCTCCGGGCCCGCACTTCCGGCCTTTGAGGACCCCCTATGCCCTCCATGCCTTTCATTGCATGGTCACTCGGTCTCACCTTGCAAGTTCGGCCCTACATTCCTGTTGAGGTTCCACACTCCATCCCCACCACCGGCCCCAGGTCCTCTGATGCTCACTTTGAACCTTTCTTCCTGCCCCCAGGTTCAGCATCTCCCCACCCGGACTCAGGGGCTGTCCCAGCGACCCTAACCTGCCAGCAGGTGAGGAGCAGAGGGTGTTGGGAGGGAAGGATTGTCTCCGGCAGATCCCAATACCACTTCCTCAGGTGGTTTTCCTCTTTCCTGAATTCCATACCTGTCTTTGCTTGTATGAGGTGGTCAGCCCTTCCCAACCCTCACCCATGCTGCCTCCCGCATCCATCACTTCTATCCACCACACTCCAGACCGTTCCTTCCAGCCTGGGCTCTGCTCCCACCAGGGGACACCCCTCCCCAGGGCCCTAAGCTACCCTAACCCTGTTGTTGGGACTGTGATTCTGCTGCTCCTAGAACAACTTGGAGGCCACTGAGCTCAGGCCTGCTGGGAGAGGGGCCTGCTGGGAGAGGGGCATGGTCCTCCCGCAAGCCCCTTCCTGCAAGGCCTCTCTGCCAGCCATCTTTGGGTCACTGCTCAGTCCCCTGGCTCCTCAGTGTGGCTTTTCCACTCTGCACCCCAGATCCAGCTGCAGCCAGTTTCTGTGTGGTCCTCTGTTGGTTCTGCTCAGTCATGGCTTTGTGTACAAGACCCTGCCTGGCCCTCACAGTCTTTGCAGGATCTGTCCTCGAGCTGCTGTGTCATTGCCATCAGGGGCTCCCACTCCTTCCCTGACCCTGCCTTTCCCAGCAGGGTGCTTTTGTCCAGGGAATAGCCCTCCTGACAACATGCCCGAAGTATGTGGGACCAGGTTTTACCATCCTTGGCTCCTAAGAAGCATGGTGGCTTTTCCTCCAAGACAGATTTGCCTGTTCTCTTGGCAGTTCATGAGATACTTAGTGATCTCCACCACCACAGTTCAAAGGCATCGGGTTCTCTTCTGAAAACCGTGTGAAATAACAGAGAAATACGTGCGCTTGAAACAATTGAAAATGCCATGGCTTGGGGCAGGCACAACTTGGTTTTTATGCAGACATCCTTGCTTTTTGGCATTTTAGAACGGTCCTTGACAGCAGATTTTCCCAGTCCAATACTTGTGATTTCTTAACTACTGCTACCTTGGGTGTTGATTGTGGAGCTAAGTAGAATGAAATCATTGATCGTTCCAATCTTTTCTTCACTTGTCGTGATGTTGTTTATTTCCTGTGGTGAGGATTTTTGTCTTCCTGGTGTGGAGATGGCATCCATCCTGAAATCTTTTAACTTCTTCAGTTAGTGCTTTAAGTCTGCCTCACGTTCTGCGTGCAAGGTGTGTCATCTGCACGATGTCAGTTGTTGATGAGTCTTCTTCCTACCCTGTTGCCACTCTCTTCCTCCCAGAGTCCAGCCGGCACACAGATGGAATAGCTATGGAGAAAGAATACAACCCTGAGCTGCATGGCTCCTGCCTTCAAAGCAGCAGCGTCCCCTTGGTCTTTTCAGGTGACTGCTTGGTGTGTGGACAGGCTTTCAGGAGTCCAGCTAAGAGTTTTGGAGTCCCCATCCCTCTCAATGTTAGCCACATTTGTGTGTGTGTGTGTGTGTGTGTGTGTGTGTGTGTGTGTGTGATCCACACAGTGTAACGACTTTGCATAGTCAATGAAGCACAAGCAACCATCTCCCTGATATTCTCTGCTTCAGCCAACATTCATCTGGCATCAGCAGGGATAAGCCTCATTCCACAGCCTCTTCTGATCCACTTGTATTTGTGACAGTGCCAGCCGTTTGTAAATAATCTTCAGCAAGATTTTACTTGTCTGTGATTTTAGTAATATCGTTTGATAATTTCCACCCTCTGTTGAAGCATCCTAGTTTGGGATAGGAGCAAATCTGGATCTCTTCCAGTCACTTGGCCAGTACGCTGCCTTCCGGATTTGGTGGCAGAGACGAGTTACCACGTCCAGGGCTTCTTTTGTTTCCTGAGACACCTCAGCTGGTATCCCGTCAGTCCCTGAGGCCTTGTTTTTTGACAATACTTTCGAAGCACCTTGGATGTGCAGCCCGGTGCCTTTGATTCTTGATCATACGCTCCTTCCTGACGTGGTTCGGAACTGACTCATTCTCTCCGTCACAGTGACTCTGTGCTCCTTCTCTCTTCGTTTGCCACTTCCTCTGCCGTTAATCTACTCAGGAGAGGCCTGAGACTGTGCTTCAGCTTAAGAAATGCTGGTTATGCTTTTCCCCTTTGGGTTTTCTAATGCCAGGTCTTCCCGCAGTTCGTGGTATGGCTTCGCTTGGTCTTCTTGAACTTCCCTTTCAACTCTTTTGATACCTTGTTTCACCGTTTATTCCTTTACTTTCAGCTCCCACTTGCCTGTCGGTTTGCTGTGATGCAGGTGCTTACACCACCAGCGCTTCTGGTACTAGCCGGGTGTCGCGTGGTGGGCTTTCAGGTTTCACGGTGCTTCCACACTAAGACAGGTTGGTAAGTCTGGCCAGAACCAGGGAGACAAGGCAACGGGAAGTTAGGGGAGCCACAGGAGGGGCAGATCCGTGGGGTTGCTGGGGTTGGAGCAGGAGATGAAATGGGTGCTGGGACAGAGGAGGAGCGAGGCCGCTAAGCGAGCGGACTTCCCAGGTCTGTAGGCTACGGGCGTGAGGGGCATGAGGGCCTGGATCTCCCGAGGTCCTGATGTGTTGAGCAGGGGTCCCTGGACTCCACTTAGAGGTCAGACAGCGAACGAGGAGGAAAGACCCAGGGACAGTTTTACTGCAGGAGAGGTCGAGGGTGTTCAGACAAGACTCTCCCGTGCAAGTTAGAGGGCGGGTCTGCAGACAAGCTGGAGGAGTGCAGGGGGACGGACGGGTGGGGGCTGGCTGTACCAGGATCTGAGCAGGCTGGTACCGGAGAGCAGGTGGGGGTGCAGGGAGCACAGGCCTCGCGGGCTGTGGCTCAGGGGTGTCTGCTGCATTTTACAAGGTGCCCACTCTGTCCCGGTCCTGCCTCGGCAGGCTCTGGGGGCCAGATGGTCAGTGTTGGGTTCCAGGTCGTGTGGCTGATTGGCCTCTGAGAGAGCCCGGTGCTGAGGTTCTCGGGGGGGGGGGGGGTGTGAGGTCTCACAGGGTGAGACCACTCTTATTTCACCCCCATGTCCCTAGTTCTCCAAACCCCATAGAGAGAGTGGGAGCCAGCGGGCCCCTCCTCCATCAGACAGGAATCCCACTGCTCTGCTTCTGCAGCCTGTCTGTTTCCTGAAGTCACCAGCCTCCTTCCCGGGGCCACCACTGCCAGCCGCCGATTTCAGATAAACAAGTCTGGTTTTGTAGTTGAAGGATGTCCTAGGAGGATTTGGAATCTACTTTTCATTTTGACATACTTGTAAATCTGCTACATCTGGCCACGTAGTGGGGGGCCTCCGAGGCACCTGTGCAGGGCTGGTGTGGGTGAGGGTAGCCCCTGTGGCAGGGGAGGACCTGGTGCTGGGATGCTGTAGGAGGCCTCCTGCTGGTACAGATTCCCTCTGGGCTGGGCCGGCTGGTAAGCTAGGGTGCGTTCCGAGCAGGGAGCCCTGCAGGATTTTAAAGAAAGGGACAGGGCCAGTGGTGAGAGGTTTAGGGAGCCAATGGCAGGAAGGATACCACAGTTGCCCACTTGCCCTGCCCAATACATTCACCTCTCTTTCTGCAGACACTCTTGGGAGTCTTAGGTGCCCAGTGGGCTCCTTGGAACCAGGGAAAGGGCAGTAGGCAGGAACAAGTGGAGCTGATGTCTCCGGGTCAGGCAGGCAGCATGCAGGGACCCAAGGCTGCACCAGGAGAAGGAAGGGGGAGGTCGGCAGGAGTGAGGCTGTGTGGGTGAGCTCTTTGGGGTATGCTGAGAAGAGTACCCCACTCACAGCACCTGACAGCACATGTGCATCCTGGGCCCAGCCCACTGCCCCACAGGGAACGAGACCCAAGTGGCTAGAGCAGGTATTCTGCCCCCCCAGCTCTTCTGCCATAAGTGAGGCCCCCCAACATCCTGAGAAGTGGGCCTGAGCCCCGAGGTTGCTACAGATGTACCTGCCCAGGGGCCTGAGGGGGCAGGTAGGTGGCCACAGACCAGCTCTGAGATCATCGGAGCCCAGCTACCCGGCAGCGGGAGAGGGCCTAGTGGGGTGAGAGAGCTGTGGGGCAGCTGTAGGGGTGCGGGCCTGAGAAGATACCCTTCTTTATTGGCCTCACTGGCCATCACACCAAATTCAGAAGAGCTCTACCCACCCTGGCCCCATGGTGCCCGTCCCACGTGAACATTCCCAGGGTGACAGGAGGTGCAGCATTGGCTTCAGCACCGCAGAGCCTGTGAGGAGGTACAGGCCTGGTGGCCCTGCTGTCCCGAGGGCTGCCGAGCG